AGCTATTACACAATGTAGTGATTCTAAAATTGGACTGATAAGAATCAGCCAAAGATTTTATAAAATACAGAATAGAATCCTCGGCCCTGGCTCAAAGCTTACTTAATTGGGATTTCCTGAGAAGGAGTCTAAGAATCTGTATTTCATACCATATGGTTCTATTATCAGGTAAGTTTATGAAATCTTGACATAATAGGTAGCACTTCCCCCCCCAAAAAAAAAAAAATTAACGATTACTCCTCAAATAATGTGTATTCAGTTGAGCTGCCACACACAAGGTCCGTCTCTCCATAAATATAACTGCCTGCACAGGGAAGAAGCCTTTGACTACAGTCTCATTAGCATCATGCTGTGACCAACTGGGCCTGCCAGCCCAAACAACCTCACAGGAAGGGGTCAAGAAAGAATCCAAAATTGACACTCAAAAGGGCTAAAAGTGGAAAAAGGCCACCAACTCTGGATCTAGCAGAGTTGTTGCAGTCTCCCACAGAAGGTGGATGGTGTATCTCCAAAGATAAGAAAATGTAAAGAAAGAAAAAGGAAACAGATAAGAGGAAGGGCGGGGGAGACTAGCAATTTTGGGACAATAAGAAAATGGAGGTTTTTCCCACCATCCTTAGGAAATCCAGCAGAACTTACAAACTAAGTGCAAGTTCCCTTCATATTTATTGCAATCCCTGCAAGGTATTTGGGTASGCAGCTCAACAGTTGATTAATGAAAATCTGTTTCTATGTTCTGTGATTCAATGGTAGATTAAGTTATCAAAACCTACTGTGTTATTGAAAACACATACTGAGTAAATGTAATAACTGAGCAAAAAAAAGGGGAAAGGCCTCTTGTGCTGGCTTACTTGCTTGCTTGTGATTATTATAAATTTCAGGGGGCAGGTGAAAGAACTCATTGGACCAAAGAAAAATCTAGCCAGTTGCTCAGCAGACTGGATTAACTCATAAAAGCAATACTTAACCTTCCCTCTGGAATCAACACCAATCTAGGGTAATTTCCAACATTAATTCTTTGGGCAAACACATAACAGTTTGATTAATGATAAATGATCCCTAAGAAACAATGACTGAGTTCCTACATATCTATTAACATAGATTGGTGAAGTTGTTAAAGGGTTGGAACACTGACAGATGATCCAGGCTCCACCCTTCACTACAATAATCAGGAAATCAAAGCCCAGAAAGTTCAAATGAATTTTCCCCAAATCGCATAGCAATGTAATGTCAGGACAAGACTGGAATCCAGATCCCTGGGCGCCTCATTGTTGTGATGGTTCCCAGAGCTAATGTCCGTGAAGAGCATGCATATATAMGGTAGACTTCAGATGCTGCACCCTTCCTTTCTATTAGCATGCTTCATGGGGGCCTGGGACATTACACATAATTCCACTCAACTAGCCATTTAGCTGATAGAAAAAATTGAAACCCACAGAAAACCAACTTGTCCATAATCACACAACTAGCTCCTGGCCACTGACCAGCCTGGAACCTAACTCCTGATTCCAAGTCACCTGTTCACTCCTCTATACACTGCCCCTCTCTCGTTATTAGTAATCTAATATTATTCATGATGACTCTATATATCCCACATATGGAACCAGCTCTGAAAGTTTATCTCAACCATTTCATTGCAAATTTAAAAAGTGTCCAAAAAACATTCCAACCAAATTAAATATCATGGTTGCTGTCCACCTAAATTCTGTATCCAGTGTTCAGGAGAATCAACCTCTTTTATCCATCTGTTTTGGTGCAAATAGGAAACCAAGAAATGTGGACAAACAGACAGGACTTCCTGCAATCTGAGCTTCGGGATTGTCTAGATGAGGAAAAGACTCTACTTGTGCTAAACTGAGAATTAGGAATGAACCTCAGTGTGAATCTGTCTTCCCCATCCTTGAGACTTGGTTTTCTGGTCTATAAAATGGAGATAATATTGTCATAGGAGTCACATTTAAGAATATATAAATTAATCTATGAAAAGAGACTAATAACAGAGCCTAGAAAAACAGTAGATGGTCCTCCATTTTTTTGCCTGAGAATCTTCTTTGCCACTCTCATGGAACCTCATACACAAGAACCAACACACAAAAAACAGGAGGGGATACATGTTACCTAACTAAAACAAAAACAAAATGAATTTCAGAAAAGCCACCATGCAAAGATTCATAATTACATTTAAAAGTACTCAGTTGGCAAAGATGGCTGTTAAATAGCAAGTAAACTCCCATTGGGCTTTTCTAACACCAAATTCTTTCTTTCAGCCTTCAAATAAGAGGGCGATTTTTGTTTTATCACCCAGAATTTAATATTCCAAAAGGTATGTGAAACAAGTTAAACTACTTGCATATTTTCACTTACATAACATTTACATAGCACATCAGCTTTTATTTTTTCCAGATACTAGGAGATGAAGCTTGGTATATAATCCTATGGGAGAATAAACAGAAAACTGTCTCTCTTCTTAATATATTAGTGCCCTGTAATCCAGACCATATGATCAGTAAACTATATAAAAATTAAATCATATTGACAGTCTTAGGCAGAAAGGCAACTAAGTAGAAACAATTTTTTTTAGGACTGTAGTATGTGGAATATTAAAATCACATGTTGTGTTATTCATTTTTCTTTGGAAACCAAATAGATTTCTCTTGCATAAGTATCTCAAGATATTTGTTTATCTTACAGTTTTTCTATTAAAGGTATTACGAAGACATTGAATTAGTGAAAAATGTAATTTGGTTTCTACTTAGGTGGAAAAACAATAATGACTTTATTGCCATGGTTTTAATGATAAGACACATAGACCTTGAAAAGGTAGATATGTGTCTTTTATAATAAAACCCATGGTCCTGACATCTGGCTGCATTTTTTAAGTAAACAAAATCATCTATTCAAACATAAGACCAACTGTGAATAAACACAATAAACAGGTCTACAATATTAGCTTGGGCACACGGGTGGGGAGCGTTGTAGCCAATGAAGAACTAAAACACCTACACACCCTTTACCTGCACCTTGAATGCTTAACAGAATACCTCTATGTTCCTGGCTAAACTATAGCTGGAGGGTATGTCTTTCCCCAAATTCCTTCATACTTTTTTCTTTTTCATTTAACAAGAATATGCCATGTCTTGGGATAGCCTTCTGAAATTGGAAGAGCGGAAGGGAGGAGAACAATSAAATTGTAGGAAGGCTGTCAGGCATGTTCTAGCTGGGCTTTCCTTATCACCAAGTGGGAGGCAGGAGGGGGACCCTGCACAAGCAGCCTAGATCTTACCCTACCACCAGCTAGAGCCAGAGTGAACACTGGGAAGCCCCAGGCAAGTTTACAGGGAACAGCTTCAACTTGTTTAGGGCCAGTGTACTCCCCCAGGACCTGGGAAGGTCTTTTAAAAATTCAACAGCTTGGTTACAAGATGGTAAGTACTAATCTGTCCCACTCTGCATGATAATAAGACAACCGCCACCAGGAAGGTAGGCCCCCCAGTGACAATTCCTTTACATAGCATTCTAATGTTGAATTGATACTAAGAGAGCTGGAAATGAGATATGCCACCTGAACTGTGATGACCTTTCTCCCTGCCTGCAGAGCACAGTTTTACTTTCTAAGGTCTCTCCCTATCTGAAGAGGGCTATTCTTATTTTTAAACTTTAAAAATGCCATCTTTCTTTGGTTCTCAGATTTGACACAGGCAGCCAAGCCAAGGATTAGAGGACACTGTATACTCCCTACACTGCTACAGAAGAGTCCTGAACACAAGGGAGTAGAACTCCTGCCTAAGAAGTCTCTGGTCTGCACAATCTGCATGGACAAAGCCATTTCAAAGGGGACTTAAGTCTCCGTGCAGGAGTTCTATTTTAAGGGAACTGAACTGGGAACACAGATGTTTCTTCAGTTAGCAGAGCTGGCAGAACAGCTCCTGGACCAAATCCGAGTTCTTAATGCAAGAAGGGGCCTCGGAGAACATCTACTTCAACTCACTCATTCAACTGAGGAGGAAACTGAGGCCAAAGAGGCAGTTAGGTGGCACACCCGGCAAGTGGCAGAGTGGCAGTGTTCTGATGACAAGTCCTATGCACTTTCCATTACACTATAATTCGCTTAAAAAAATAAAAATAAAAATCCTACGCTGACTTCAACCTTGGAACTCCTATAGATTCGCGTCAAGAGCTTTTCCCTCCCCCAACAGAGTCCATAAATCCTCCACCCGCTCCCACTCCCAATTCCTTTAACTCCCACCGCCCTTTAAGCGGTAGCTTCCAACGACTCCCAACAAAAATGGAGCATCTCTTCTACTTTCCGGGAGTGCGATTAAACTGTGGTCCCAAATGGGGTTGCTGGCCCCTATTGCACCAAGTCAGAGAAAGGGTTAGTTAAAACGGATTCCAGAGAAACTGCCTACCACCTGGTACACAGTAGGCACACAAGAGGTGGTTACTGAATGGAACCCAGCAACAAGCCCGGGGAGAACACTGTCCCAACCCTGGGGCATGCAAGAGAACAGCAAGTGAAAAGTTGAGCTTGCAAATCTGGCCTGGCGAGGCAGCAGCGGCGGAAGGGCTGGATGTTTACATACAGCCGGGGCCAGGCAGCGCGGCTCCAGGCAGGAGCCCGGCTCGCCCAGAGATCCATTTGACTTGGATGAAGGGCGACAAGTATATGCTGGCTCTGGATCATGGTTCAACCACCTTCCGCTCTGCTAGAGATGGAGCCCACCCCTCCGGTGGGGTTGTGCCCGGGCTCCAGAAGGAGACTTGCTCCTAAGGGGCCGGTTTACCGTGGCCCGCGAGCGCACAGCATGCCCAAACACACTAATCCACAGGCCGGGAGGTTGGTGGGATCGCGGAGGGCGGGACCCTGAGCCAGAGCTGCCCGGGCGCCCAGGAGGGCTGCGGGGGCCCCACTGCTGACAGCGCGGCGGGGCCCTGGGACGCGGCCGCGGGCGGGACTAGGACGCGCGCCGAGGGCCGAGGGGCAGCGGGGCTGAGCTCACCCATGAAGAGGCAGAAGAGGTCGAGGCAGATGAGCAGCACCCGCTTGCTGCCGCTCTTCCTCGGGCTGTTGTTGAGCGCCGGGCTGCCGCCGTTCTTGCTCTCCGGGACGATCGCCTTGTCGTACTTGTAGTTTTGCATGGCGCTGGCTGCGGAGCGAGCCTCCAGCCCCGGGAAGACACCCCACGACTTCAGCCACACACTCAGACGCCCGGGTCGCCTTTCTGGCCGGGCTGCTCCGGAGAGTGGCGGATCGGCTGGGTTCGGGGAGCGGCCGCCAAGAGTGCAGCCCGGCTGCCTGTTTCCAGCTGCACACGGTGCAGTTTTCTGCTCCCCCTGGGCGCCTCTGCTTTCCTCCCTCAACTCCCAAGTCGTTCGAAAGTCCAAGGGGAAGAGAGCCAAATCCCGAGCAGGAACTTTTGCAGAGCGGCGCTGCTTGGAGAGCGCTGGTCTGGCGTATGTGTGTGTGTGTGTGTGTGTGTGTGTGTGTGTGTGTGTGTGTGTGTGTGTGTGTGCGTGCGCGAGGTAGCGAGTGGGCAGCGCGGGCGCCCGGCCACCTTCCTCCGCAGCTGGCTACTTAATGAATGGGAGCTGCGCGGAGCCCGGCAACTCCGCAGCGCCTGCCCCACTCCAACTTTGCCTCCTCCTCCTCCTCCTCCTCCTCTTTCTCCTCCTCCTCCTCCTGCTGCTGCTGCTGTCGCTGCGGCTGCTGCTGTGATCCTTCGGTTTGTTTTCTGCACTTTTATTTCACGAGCTCCTTTAAAAAGAGGGAGAGAGAGAGAGAGGGCCCTCCTTACTTGGCTCTGATGGGACTCCGAAAGCACAGCCCCTTCCTAAGCTGCCTAAAACGTAGGATAATTAAGGCCACATTTCCCCCCCACCCCCTTCCAAAAAAAAAAAAAAAAAAAGTCCTAAAAGGAAAAGTTACTCTCAAACCAGAGAATCCGGGAGCCCCTAGCGTTCAGAAACACCAAATTGTCACAAAAGGAGAAAAATATATAAATAAAAAAGAAACATTTTCTTGCTGGCCTTGGGTCATACAAAAGTGAGGATTGTACTACCAAAATGCACTGCTCCTTATTTATGAATTTGGGATTTCCAAGTCTTTATTTTGACTTGAATTAGATTATTTCAGTTTTAAAAGAAACTGGTTGGGTTTGTTTATGTATCTGTTTGTTTGTTTGTTTGTTTGTTTGTCTGTTTTCAAGATCTTCTCATTCGGTGCCAGGTCCTGAGTGACTGGATTAGGAGGAAACTATGGTGAAAAAGACTTCCAGACCCCGGAGCCACATACCTGGACCCGAAAGCTGGCTGGGTCTCTGTGCTGTTTCCCCCATGTAAACTACAGATGATAACTGTTTCTCTCAAACACAACAACATTAAAAATGTAATTAGCATATGCATAAATTTAATCCATACATGCTCCTGGGATAGGGCCTCTTACACAGGAAGTACTCTGTGAGGGTTAGTCATTACTTTTATTCCTGATTCTAGGGCAGAGGATTCCCAAGCTTTTCCAGTAGCTGCCAGCTGCGCTGGTTTCCAGCTCTCTGTGCCACCATGGGGAATTCCAGGACAACAGAAATGCTGTGGGGCTCCAGTTTCAAGCAATCTAATGAGTCTCTCTGGAGGCTGCCATATTGTTTTTACTTATTTTGTATGAGTTCTTCTTCTTCTCCTTCTCCTTCTAGATAATGAACACTTCTAGGGAAAAGGCCTTCTTTTTGTAGTGCCTAGAAGAACCAAACTGAAAACATGGAAGGCAATAACTAGACATTTCTTCCAAGAGTCTCTTTTTGTGATCCAGAAATAGAAATAAGTGTGCCTTTTTGATACATTATAAGGACCACCTTCTTCCTTACATTGACTTGTTAGGGGGTTCATTAACCTACATCCAACCATCAAGCAACTACTTCCATTTCTTGAAAACAGTCCTTTCACACTCCACACGCCTGCTTTCCTACACCTTTGCTCATGTACACCTTTCCCTTCCCAGACTGCCAAATGCTCCTCCTTAGTGTTCTCTGAAACGTCACCTCATCCCTATACCCTTTCCTGACCCCTCCACAGAATTAATCTCACCCTCAACACTTTGTTTATAACACTCTTGTAACACTTATCTCAATCTGATTTGTTGTTATCATTAGCAAAACTAGTCAGTGGTAAATCACCAGCCCCATGGTATCTCCCTAGTGCTCAAGCCTTGATGTCTGCTGAAATGAGATCAATTTAGATTGGATAAGAACAAGAAACGCCAGGCATGGTGGTGCACGCCAGCAGCTTGGGAGGCTGAGGCAGGTGGATCTTGAGTTCAAATCCAGTCTCAGCAAAAGTGAGGCACTAAGCAACTCAGTGAGACCCTGTCTCTAAATAAAATTCAAAATAGGCTGGGGATGTTGCTTAGTGCAAGTGCCCCTGAGTTCAATCCCTCGTATGGAAAGAAAGAGAGAGAGAGAGAGAGAAGGAAGGGAGGGAAAGAAAGAACAAAATTGCTATCTTCTGGAAGCAAGAATGACTGAATCTCCAAGGCAGTTTTGGAACTAAAGAATCTATCTGCTATCAAACAGTTTTCAGGGATAAATGCAGTCTCCTGACATGTTTAGCAGAAACAATGCAACGCCAAGCTCATAATTAATGAAATTCTAAAAGGAATTCAGGGTTCCAGTGTATTTTCCTTACCCACCCAACCCACTTGGTAAACTATGATCATCCTAGAAATTCTAGGTCATCAAACCACACCTTCTGAATTCCAATATAAAAGTACCTGAAAGCTTTCCCCAAACCACAGCCCCCTCTCATCTTTTCTCTCCTTGGGTTCCAAACACCCCTGAGCATCTGTGCCCCTCAGAGGGCTACCTATATTCATACCTCTGTATCTCACTCTGTCTTAATACACTTGACACAGGTGGCCCATAATTTGCCTCTCAAAGATTGCCAGCTCTGGGGTTGGGGCTGTAGCTCAGTGGTAGAGAACTTGCCTAGTAGGTTTGAGGCCCTGGGTTTGATCCTCAGCACCACATAAAAATAAACAAACCAATAAATAAAGATATTGTGTTCATCTACAACTGAAATATATATATATATATATACACAAATTGAAAAAAGAGAGATTGCTAGCTCTGTGCACGTAGTGAAGTCCAGAGCCCAAGAAAAAAAAATGCAGCAAGTAAATTTCAGCTATCTGCCTTTGAGCTTTCTATCTGCTTTTCATTATCTGTGAGATGACTTTTATTTATTAATTTAAGAATAAAAATATTTTTAAATCAGATTTTTACCATTATTGAACAGTTTCACCATTGTTGGTCTCTTTAAACATTACTAGGTAAGAGTGTTAACTCTAGTCTGTGCTAGATAAGTTACTAAGAACCTATTTGCCTTAAGGTTCTCTGGATTAAACTCCAACTACTTATTAATAAAGATAATAATCTGATATTTCAACAGTATATAAAAGGGAAAATAAGTGGAAGTTGAAATAAGAGTTTTACATTTCATTTATGAGGCTCTGTGAGGTATTTTTTTCATAACTAACAGATCATAGTGTTAATTGATGCATGTAGTTCTATGCAAACAAAAATTTATTTGAATATCCCTTCAATGGAACAGAATACTACAAATCCTCATTAAAATTGACTTGAACAAGTTATAAAATATAGTGTCAGTATGATTCTTTAAAGAATCAGATATAAAACAGCCACCCGGATACACAAGTTTGAAGGCCTCTTGGCTTTACATTTTTTCTTTTTCTCTCTTTTTGTTATAATTTTTCTTCTTTTAAACATTAAAGCTGAACAATCTTACCAATAAATAAAATGCAGTGAAACAGACTCGGTAGTTTAGAATGGTGTCATTTCAAAGTAATTAGGTAATTAAAATTCCTGGTAAACACAGCTTATCCAAATTCACACATTAAAATGACATCCAGTTCACTAAACGGGTCTGTATAAAAACTATCCCATCAGCAGGGATAAATGCCTCTTTAAGATTAACTTATTATGTGTGGGCAACCACAGCACATCATTCTTAAATAACTGATCCCTCCCAAGAGATTGAAATAGGCTTCGTTTCTAAGATCTCCTGTTACCTCGTAATTTTCTCTCTCTTTTTAACCCTTAACAACTAATAATTAATCATTTTTAGTTTTTGAGAAGGTATAAATTGTCTCTGGGAATATTTAAGGGAAAGTAGCTGAGTCCCTTTACATAAAATTGTATACTCGAAGTCAGAACTCAAAAGTCTTAAGCCATAGAAATTAACTTCAGAAGGGCCCATTTATTTGGTTCTTTTTAAAACTGTTACAGTCCACCTCTGGTATTCACTATACAAAGTTTGTTGGCTTGCTGTTGTAGGAGTTGGATTTGATATCGTGAGTTATTCCACAGGACTGCCTGGAGGAGCCCAATAACACTCTTGAGTAAGGGCAGGAAGGACATAGGATATGAGGTCAAAGAGTCTTGGATCTGCTGTTTGACCCAAGACAAGCTCAGTAACCTCTCTGATCCTCAGTTTCCTCAACTTTAAAATGGGGCTCATATTTTTCTTTCGTGTGGAGAAGACTTTAAAAAAAATCATAAAATGAAATAATATATTTTGAACATACTTGGTATTCAGAGGCATTCAATAAATGTTGGTTGAATGTTAATATTTTAAATGAACAATATAGAGCTTGGGATATAGCTCAACTGTAGAACACTTGTCTAACATGCATGAGGCCGGGGATTCAATACCTAGCACATGTGCGCGCACACATGTGCATTACGTGAAAACTATTTCTATAGTACACCTAATAAAATACCGGTATTCAAAAAGCGTTTATCAAGTACCAGCTCTGAATATGCCATTTGATTTCATTCATCCTGCCTTAACTGCATTAGTATCTTCATCATCTTTATTCCTCATTTTCAAACACTCAATTGTTAGAGGTTTTTGTAGGTACTAAATCAAAGATGATGATTTTTTAAAAACCATCTAATTACACATTGTTTTCTAAATATTGCTTGTGAAATTCAAGAAACACATTTGCTTAAACATCTTCTTCTGCTTTCATTTTCTAAGTACTTTCACTACTATTTTTTTCCCTTACAGCTCACTGAAGTAGGTGGAGTTGCTATCATTAGCCCCACTTAACAGATGAGAAAAACTGAGTCAAGCCCATTTAAATGAATGGAGCTGGTTTTCCCCATGGATAAAGTGGAAGTGATTCTAACATTAGCTCAAGGCATTTGCTTGGGTTGGAAGTAAGGAAAGTTCTGAAGCACCACAATCCAAGTCTCTTTATATATATATATATATATATATATATATATATACACAAATTGAAAAAA